CTCTGCGAGGCCGCTGCTCGCTCCGCCGCCTCCCCATCTCCCTCTCGGTCTTGGCAGGCCGCAGTGTCGCCAGTGGACGGCGATGCTGCTGCTGGGGACGTGCCTGCTGTACTGCGCCCGCGTCACCGTGCCCGTCTGCGCCGTCGCCCTGAGCAGCCGCTTCGCCTGGGACAAGAAGCAGTCCGGCGTAGTGCTCAGCAGCTTCTTCTGGGGTTACTGCCTGACGCAGGTTATCGGAGGACACATCAGTGACCGGTACTGGAAATTATTTGTATGCTTTCCTCTGCTTGGGCTCTGTCGGCAGCGCTTTCCTCGGCTGTGACCGTGCGCTTCAGCTCTTGGCAGTGGATGAAGGGTATCTGCGGGGAGCAGCTTCATGGGGCGCTCCAGATTGCACTGAACGTGGTCCGGTTTTTTCCATCAGGGCCTCCAGCTCTGATTCACGTGCAGTTTTGACTATCTGATTAAATTCCTGGGTCTTAAAATTGGTGCTGTACTTACAGCTAGGTATGCACTGGAGCACTTTGCAGAGGCAAGATCTCCCGCAAGCATAGGGAGCGCCCAGATGATAATCGCTGCTTTAGCAGTTCCTGCATAGCTACCTTAACGGAGCAGATGTTATGTTAACGGACGCGTAGACCAACGTAGCTTTTTTCATCTGGAAACAGCGGAAAGCACTTTTAGACCAGCATAATGTTTCTAGTGGAGGTAGTTTTTAGTACTCATTCAGTTACTGCAATAAAAAAAGAAAGCCCACATCCTAAAGTGTTAAGCTGGTTTAAAAAAAAAAAAAAAAAGCAGATTTAAAGCAGACCTTATTTCAGAAAAGTGATGAATGGTAAAGCTCTTGCGTAGTTCACAGCCGCTGCTCACAGGGAGTGTTATTTGTCCCTTAACAAGCAGTTAAATACTCTGGTGTCGCACAGATGCTTGGAAGGGTTTATAGCTGAAATTGCTAACCAGAGGAAGAAAACATTTCCTTTTTGCAAGGAATTCAGCTTTTTTCTGTTTGATCTCTGCTGTCTGTATTCATTCTCCTTTCAGCACCTCCGGGTTTTCCACCCTGTATTCTTGTGCAATCTTTTCACAGTCTGGGAAAAGCACATGCCTCCGTTTGATGGTATCAATTTAAAAAGCAACTACCCCAGTTGGCTTTGAGGAAAGATCTGAGTAATTACCTGCTTGAGTTGCTCTCCTCAACCGCCCTATCCTTAGTGTGGAGCGCTTTCCTGTAAAACCTTTTGTGAGAAACACATACCTGGAAGGAGTACCTTATCCGTGCAGTACATCACGCTATGTCGTTATGTTCCTTAATAGCTTGCAAGCGAGTGCTTGCCAAAAATTAAAAAAAGAGAAGTTAACAGACGAGCATAGCTGATGCAAAAGAGCAGACGGAAGAGAAAACAACATCGTTGTTCAAGAAAAAGGGAGCAGTGACAGCAGCATTGAATTCCCCTGCATCGGAGGGGAATTCAGCCTCGCTGAAAAGCTGTCTTGCGGCCCTACCCCGGGCATCGCCTCGTCCCGCGTGTGCCGAGGCTCAGCCCGCCGGCCGGCGCGCGGCTCCGGCGGAGGGGGCAAGAGGAGAGGCTTTGCTGATCCTCGTCCCCAAAGGGCTACGGAGGAGAACAGGTTTGCCTGAAAAATCACTCTTAAAACCAGGCTAAACTGGGATGAACGCTCTTGGGTCTTGTCTGGGGCATCTGCCCTTTCGCCCTTTGCTCGTTTTTGATGCGCGTTTCCTGTCTTGCAGAATAGGAGGCGAAAAAGTCCTCCTCCTCTCGGCGTCAGCCTGGGGCTTCCTCACGGTCATCACCCCGCTGCTCACCCACGTCAGCTCTGCCCATCTGGTCTTTATGACCTCCTCCAGGTTCCTCATGGGGCTGCTGCAAGGTGAGACGAGACTGCGCCGAGCGCCTGTGTCTTGTGTGCGTGTTTCCCTGTGCTGGGGCTTCCTTGCGGGGGAGCTCGTGGGCAGTACATTTGGATGCAAGTTTGGTTTGCAATGCACAAGCTATTCTCCTGAGTGTTCGGGCAATCCCGTGGCTCAAAACTGCCTCCGCATCTGGAACTTCTGCAGGAAAAAAGTGCCGTTGGATTTTCCATTTTTTAAAACTCCTTCAAAGCACTTGGTGAAAATCGGTCCTCGTCAAAACTCTGACTCCTTTGGGATGATTTTCCTTCCCTGTTGCTGAGCTGCAGCACTGGAGGACTATGAAAATAAGTGCATTGGCAGTGACAAATTTGCTGTAGTAGCAGTGATGCTAGAAACAGAGGGTTAGGGAGGAGGCACGAATAAACCTTGCATGGCCGTGGACGCATCCGTTTCATTTTATACCCTTGTTTTGTATTCACCAAAAGTCTCGTCGCCTTGTCTTGGCGATTAGCTCCTGCGGGATCCTTTAAATTTGCTTTGCTCCGCTGCCAAGCGGGCGCCAGCGACTGACCCGTCTTGCCTCCGTTGCTCGCAGGGGTGTATTTCCCTGCCCTGGCCAGCCTCCTTTCCCAGAAGGTGCGGGAGAGCGAGCGTGCCTTCACCTACAGCACAGTGGGGACCGGCTCGCAGTTTGGGTAAGTTCAAAAGGCAGATGCCGCGTTGGCTTTGAGCAGCCAGCGACAGAGTCTACGGACGTCGTATGTGATGAAGTGCCGTTAAATAGTTGGAGGCAAAACTTCCAGCCCGAAGTGCGTGTGGACTCCCGGGGCTTTGAGGAGGTCGGTTGCAGCTGGAGAAGCCTCAGGCTGTTGCTGTCATGCAGGCTCCTGCACACGTTGCTGACGACTCCGTACTCTTTGAAACGCACTGTGCGCTCTTGACTGCGTCAAGGATTTACGTGGGAGTTTTTTCCTTTGCTTATGAGCCAGACTTTGAAGAGTGTTTGCAATGTTTAATTACTCGGGGAAACAGCGTGATGCAGTGGGAAGAGCAGGGCTCAGGCTGAGACTAGTCACCTGTCCTCTCTGATAAATGGGGATAAGATAACTTTCCCATCTCTTTCAATTTCCGTGAGAATTTCCCTTCTAAATGGACGGGTTGTTTAAAAGTCAAATAGAAATATTACCGCATTTAATCACTTAGGATTCCAGCGTACTCATTTCTCTTGCTGATTTACCCATTCCCCGAGATACTTCCTACACGCCAGCCACCGCGCTGTCTTTCCCTGAGGAGCGTGTTTTGGCTCAGGGCAGATGAGTGCGGTTCACATTAGGTGGCTTCCTGGCTTCTTCTCCCTGACGGGCACGACAGACATCGATAGGAAACGCGGGGCTCGAGTACCTGGCTCGAGGTGTCAAGCTGGGAAATCGGGCTGGTTTCCGAGTCGGATGGTGCATCGGGCAGGCAGCTGCTGAGGGCTTTCTCAGCTGCGTTTAGCAACCCGTAGCGCCAGCCCCGAGAAGCTCCTAGCACTGATTCACGCAGTCCGAGTGACCTTAGCCAGCCGTTTCGCAGGCTCCTAAATCTCTTTGTGGTTTCCCTTCCAGCACGCTTGTGATCGGCGGTGCAGGATCTCTCCTGCTGGACTGGTATGGCTGGGAAAGTGTTTTCTACTTCTCTGGCTTGCTCACTTTGCTCTGGGTTTACTGCACGTGCAAGTACCTCCTGAACGAGAAAGGTAAATTCGCCCCCGTGCATCCCTCTGGCCGCTGCTCGCTGCCAGCGCTCTTGGGAACGTGTCAGCTGTTTTCTGCAAATCCCCTGAGTTCCCAAGGTGATGTCTGGTTTTGTACAATGAATTTTGTCCAGGTATCTTTGTATAGCGTGCAGTGTGTCCGACTCGAGATGCTAAACGCAGAAACAAGATTTTGAGCTTTTACATTGCTGATTTCCTATTTCAAAGTCCCACGCTGGGTTATATTACTGCTGAGAGTCCGGTCTAACTCCTCGGTACTCTTACGCACCAGTGGAAACACCACACAGAGCGTGATGTTCAAAGTGGATTAAGCTAAAGCAGAGCAAGATACTTATACCAAAGTAAGAGCATCTACACATGGAGCTTTTAAAGCGCGGTTAATCTGGAATATCTGCTCCGAATAACCGTCGGGAAATAAGTCCACGTATGGGCAAATGCTGGCGGCAGCATTTATTAAGTGTGGTGCGTAGGAGCCTGGTGTGTGCCTGGTGCTGTACAGAATTCAGACCTGGTCCCTGCCCGAAGACGCTTGTGTTTAATTATAACAAGAGATATAACAAAGAGGTGGAGGTGGCTGGGTAGGGGAGAGTAGGGACACAGTGAAGGAATCCTGATCAGCATAGTAAGGTGTTCTTATGAACATGGGGTGTATGTGTTATGAAGAAAAGGGTTAGGAAGTTAAAGGTATTTGTATCGAAGCCTCCCAGGGCTCCTTCCAGTTGCTGATCATCGCTTGCCTTTGTGTATCTTCTTCCCTGCAGAACTCATCGTCCCCTTACATTGTTTAATGAGAGGCCGCTCCGTATCCAAGCAGACCAAAGTGCCCTGGAAGCAGCTGTTTAGGAAGGCGCCGATCTGGTAGGTGCATGCTGCGGCGGCGAGCGCGGTGCCGCCGGCGTGCGTTCCTGAGCCGAGGCAGGAGGAGTCGGACGGCACCGTCCCTCCAAAGGCGTTTTCACCTCCGTGCGTGTTTGTTCTGTGTGTTTGCGTTCTGTCCGCTTATTTATACAGTTGGGAAATATGAGCAGGTTTTCCAGTCCCTTCTATATAAATGATGAACCGGAAAGGTGACCTGGATGAAAGGCAGTTTATTGTTCTGAGTGGGGGAACGTTAAGCTTGAGTGTAGCTGGCAAACCTTTCTCCGTAGCAGGCTGCTCCCTGGGGCAGCGGCGCGCTCCTCGTGTGACACGCTCCACCGCCTTCGTCCCTTAGAAAGGCTGCTCGTAAAGGCCCTCCTCAGGGCCACCGAATGGCGCAAATTTGTTCTCACTGCTGGAAAAAACCTCTTTTTAATAGCTGTTTTTCCTTTGGGGTGTTTGGCGCGGTCCAGGAGGACGCGATGACGTTTCCGTCCAGGCTCCGCCTGGGGCATCGCGGCAGGTTCAGCTAGCAGCTTGCAGCTGCCCCTTGCTGCCTTGAACAAGCGTGGGCGCTTCTGCTGGTGACGGGTCCCGAGAAAGCCCTGGACACACAGTCCTCTCCTCTCGGAGAGGAGCAGCTCTCGCGGCGATGGGGGGACGGGTGGGAAACGCACTCGCGTAATCGCGGTGGCGATTAACCGCGCCTGAGCCCGCGGGTGGACGTCCGGGGGGCTGCTCGGTTCGGGCAGCCAAGGAACGCGTGGTGCTGCGCTTGGCAAGCCGAGTGCCGTAGTTATCTCCGAAAAAATCTCAGGAAGCAACTACAGTGCTGGAACGGATTTATTTACAGCCCAGGAAGTGAAATATTGGGTTGCTAGAAAGCGTATTTTTTTACCCAGTGTGACCTGTCGCTGTTACTGATGGTTTCCTCCGCGCTGCGCGTTTCCAGGGCTGTCATCGTGGCTCAGCTTTCTACGGCCAGCACGTTCTTCACTCTCCTCTCCTGGCTGCCAACTTTCTTTAAGGAAACTTTTCCTGAGTCAAAGGTAAGTTGACTTTTTGGCAGAGAGCGGGAAGCGATCTCCCGCGTTCCCGCGCTTGCACAGGGACCCCCGTGCCCGGGCGTCCCGTCTGCAGAAAGCCTCCGAGCGCCTTGCCGCAGCTTACAGCAGGGGCTGCCCGGCGCCTGCCGACGGGGACGGCCAGACCCGGGGACTGAGCTGGGATTTAGGAGGTCTGGATCAGGCCCGCGGGATCCTGCACGGCTTACGCTGACGTGCCGCCAACGCGCCGACCTCACGCTTACCCGAGGGCGATTGCTCGGGGACGTGGCGCCTCCGACCCCCACCAGAGCGGGATTCGGCTCGGGAGGAGGTGACGGCAGAGGGATTTGGTGCGGAGGGTTTCCCTGCGGGAGCAGCACGCAAACGTCCCCCTCCAGGTCCCGGCCAGGCGGGTGCTGGAGCGAGGCAGCGCCGGGGGCACCTTCCAGGCGGGGAAGAGGGAGTCGTGTGTGGTTTGTAGGCTGCTCTTTGCTGAGGAAAGGGTGGTTTTTGAGTGGCACAGAGCTCATCGCGTTGCGCCATTGCAAATGACCACCAACCCCTTCGTTCCTGTGTTTGTGTTTTTTTTTTTTTTTGTCTGCTCTGAGTTTGCAGAGCTCAGAGCAGCCTGAGGAAATTACAGTTATCGTTAATGGCATGTACTTTAAAAAGTGCTACGGAGGCTTCCCTCTCCTCCGCAGAAATGATGTTCCCGTTTTTCAGAAACCTTGTTCATACTCACCTGGGCTCTCAGCTAGTGGTTTGGTGTCTCCTTGTTCCCGGACACTAGCACAGTCTTTTCCACAGTAGCTCTGTCAGGTTTTTAAATAGCTTCCAGAGCTGCTTACAAATGCCTTTTAGTATTACATTTTTAAGGCACTTTATGGCATACTTGGTATTTATATTAGAATCATGTATTAAACCAGCAAACATATTGCCGTGACAAGATCTGTGCACCTCCGGTAATATGCTTGTGCAGCAGTGATTTACCATCTGTTAAGCATTATATCATGGTGCTATTATATAAGATGCTCCGTGTAATGTTCCTGCATCTGATAATCGCTTCCTAGATTTTAATAAAACACGGCTTGGTGGTGCTCGATGCTCGAGGTTGACAATAGTCCGTAACGTGGTAAAACTGTGTCACCTGCTGGTCGAGCTGCCTTTCGGCAGGTGAGGGGCCGTGTGGCTGCGTAGGCGGCCC